TCTGCAGCAAGCACTTCAGGTCCTCCTCAGTTTCAGCAAGCAGGGTTGTGTCATCTGCATAACGCAGGTTGTTGATGAATCTTCCACCAATCCTGATGCCACACTTCTCATCACAGAGCCCAGCCACCTGGATAATTTGTTCTGCATACAGGTTGAAAAGGTGTGGAGATAGAACACATCCCTGGCATACGCCCTTCCCTATTTTGAACTATGCAGTGTTTCCTTGCTCTGTTCTGACAACTGCCTCCTGGTCGAAGTATAGGTTTCGCATTAGCACGATCAAGTGTTCTGGGATTCCCATTCTTCTCAGAGCCAGCCACAGTTTGTTGTGATCCACAGTCAAACACCTTTGCATAATCAATGAAACACAGACAGACATTCTTCTGGTATTCGCTGCTTTTAGTAAAGATCCATCTAACTTCAGCTACAATATCCCTAGCACCACAACCCCTTCTAAACCCAGCCTGGACTTCTGGCAGTTCTCTGTTTCCATTTTTGGATAATCTTCAGCAGAATCTTGCTTGAATGTGATATCAATGACACTGCTCAATAATTTCCACACTCTGTCGGATCACCTTTCTTTTGAATGGGAACAAATAGAGATCTCTTCCTTTCAGTTGGCCAAGTGGTTGTTCTCCAGATTTCTTGGCACTACTTGGTGAGCACATCTAGGGCAGCATCTGAAGTTGAAATACGCCAATTTGTGTACCATCTATTCCTGAGACATTTTTTTGCCAGTTCCTTCAGGCTGGAATTCAAATCCAGTGACTGCTCCAGGATTCCCAGGGATTCAGTCCAGGGACTGACCACTCCAGGATTTCTAGGGATTCAATCCAGGGACTGACCGCTCCAGGATTCCCAGGGATTCGGCCCAGGGACCGACTGTTCCAGGATTCCCAGGGATTCAGCTCAGGGACTGACTGTTCCAGGATTCACAGGGATTGAGTACAGTGTCCACTCCAGGATTCCCAGGGATTCAGTCCAGGCAGCACTCTGGGTGGCGTCTTGCTCTGGGCTAGCTCTGTAGGCCGGGCCCGGTTTCCTCGACCTCAGTCTGCCAACCCCGCAGGGTCTCTGCATGCTGTACTGACTCCTGCACGCACTGCTCTCACCTCCTCGTGTAAACCCTGTGATGTCCCGGAGGCTGCTGCTCCAAGTCCAGTCCTTCCTGGTCATCATGACAGAGACAGCGCTGCTGGAGTGGAGCCGTGACCACAGGCCAGGGGGCAGGCCTGGCCGCACGGGTCCCTGCTATGAATGTCCACGTGGCCCCAGGCTCTGTGCTCAGCCTCTCTCTCATCTCAGGAGCCCGGACACTGTAAAGACCTAAGCGCTCAGCTTGCAGTTAAAGGGCTGGCAGTTCAAACCACCTAGTGGTGCCTCGGGAGGCAGGACGGGTAGTTTGCCTCAGAGAGGGCACAGCTCTGAAGTCCCTGTGGGTCCCCAGGAATTAACCTGGGGGACCTCAGGCAGTGACTCGCGTGCCCAGGTCTCTGTCCCCTCTCCCTGGAATCCGGCTCCCCCTGTGCCTGGATTAAAGCTCTTCTTCCCAGATCGGCCTGCCAGCATCTCCTCCGGGAAGCCTTCCCTGATTCTAAGGTTAGTTCGTGGCCCCTTCTCTTTGTTGGCCAGTGACACCTCGGACACAGTTCACAGCTGCCCACTGCCCACTGGGTAGCTCTGTCCATCCCAACACTGGCACCTGCCTTGGCCCCTCCCAGGGGCAGAGCTGCATGGAAAGCGTGTGGGCCACGCTCTGCGGAGGGTGTGTGAGGCACACGCGTGCCATCCTGTCACAGCTGTCCTCGCCAGCACTGGCCGAAAGGCCTTCCAGGCCTCTGACTCATCACCACACCTCCCCCACCACGGAAGCATCTGGAACAAATCAGCCTTTTAGAAAATGCCTGAGGAGTGACCGCACTGGGGTGAGTGGACGGTGACGAGGCGGGGCACGGGTGAAGTGAGCGGGTGTGCGGCCAGCAGAGGCGGCGAATGTCCTCCCGGAATGGCCCACGCTGAGCCGGATTCAGCCACACCAGCGCTTGGACGGCCGGGCCAGGCCTCCCGGTTCCTCCAGCCCCAGCCGCACCTGTCCTACATCCTCTCCAGCCTCAGGCCACATGGGCCTCACACACAGCCCAATCCATCCCTGATGCCCACGGGGTCCTGGTCTCTGACAGCCCACAGCGGGCCTGGCTCCACACAGCAGCACCTGCCACGCACCCTCACTGGCCTCAGGCCACGTGGGACTCATGCACAGGTCACTCTGTCCCTGGTGCAGTCCTTCATGATCCACAGCAGACCTGGGTCCACACAGCGATATCTGCACCCTCGTCCTTGCCGGTCACGGGACATACACAGCCCACTCTGTCCCTGTTGCCCACAGCTGACTCAGCTCCACACAGTGAGCCCAAGCTGGCTCTTCAATTCCTGCCCCTCAAGGAAGATCACTTTCCTGGACACATGAAGATTCTCTCATAGTTCAGGCGGCCAGGCTGTGGCTCTGGGGACAGGCTCTCTGTCAGCTCACAAGCAGGACACCTGACCCGGGCCTTGGTCTCACTTGAGAAGGGGTGTAGCCAGCATCAAATTTAATCTTACCAATGACACAAACAGAAACAATGAAACAAGCAGAGGAAGGGTGGCCTCTGTGACCCCAGGAAAAGTGAAGAGAGAGCAGAGTGCAGCCTTCAGCTCTGGGGTTCCTGTGATGAGAACATCCTAGACCAGGGAAATCTCCAGGGACACCAGGCCACAGACACTGATGGAGACAAGGGCCACCCCCAGAGCTGACGCCCTGGATCCAGGCTTCTAGTCTCCTAAATGGTGAGAGAATAACATCTGTTCATCAAAGTCACCCCCTTTTGGTAGCTCTCAGCCCCTGTTGCTCTGAGGTGATAAGGACTCCCTCCGCTTCTCTCTGTACCAAATCTCCTCTTTGTAATCTCAAAAGTGAGTCATGTAAGGCACACCCCACACTGATGTAGCCTCGGTAAGGAAATAAAGCCCCACTCTCAAATGCTCTCACACCACAGGGCTCAAGAGTCCATCCTGTGCTGGGGACATAAGCAAGCCCTTCACTGTGGCTAAGCTTGTGCTTGAGTGGACAGATGACACTGTGGGCACGTCACGAGAGGCAGCTGGGGGCAAGGGCCGAGGGCCAGCGGCCACTGTGCTCAAGCTCCCATGTGGCCTTGCTGACCGCTGCTCCCTAACCCAAGCCTGTCAATGACTGTCCTGGGGCAAAGCTGCTGGGCCCACACGGCTGCCTGAAGAGCAGCCCTCACGTCTAGGACCATGTGAAGTCCAGAGATTGACCACAACACAAAACCACTCTTAACTTCAAGTAGATGCTGTCCAGGCGCCACGCTCAGGATGCCCAATGGACATAACGAGGCCCGGTCCTCTGTCATCAGCCAGGGCCTGACCATGAAGACCCACCGGGCTTTCATGTGCTGACTTCCAAAAGTGGACTGCCAGGCCTTGGTTCCTAGTCACTCTTGCTCTGAAAGGTCCACTGACAGCTGTCCAGAGTCGCGGCCGCGTGTGAGCCTCTGGGGACAGACCAGCATGTGAGTGCACTGGTGTTAATCAAGGTGAGGGCGCTCCCACTGCTCCCACCAGGCACACTGTCTCGAGTCCCAGGCAGTTCAAATCCACCAGCTGCTCCACGGGAGAAGGGTGGGCAGTCTGATTTACTGCCTCTGGAAACCCCCTGGAAGGTCAGCCATGGTCGGTTCTGACTTAACAGCAATGACTTTGAACTTGTTTGAATGGGAAGCAATGGAAGCAGCAGACCAGGGGTGCGGTGGGCTTCCCGTGTGACAAACCCCATGGTCAGGCTGGAACAGCCGTGTCACCCGCGGTCTCTGCGTCACAGGACCAGACTCTCATTCACTCCGAGCCACACGGGGAGATTGCAGAGATCACCAAGTCAGGGACGTCTCCGGGGATACAGGCCCTTCATGCCCCACAGCCTGAGGACTCTGGCAATCACTGGCAGTGCGTGGGATTGGCATGTGAGGACAGACTGCCCCTCAGGGCTGGCAAGACGATCTCCATGGGACTGGGCTGCCAACCCTTCCTCTAGTGGGTAGGTCGGATCCCTCACCTCTTGGCTGGTCACCAAGCGCCCACACTGAATGCCACCGAGGGAAAGGACACTTGCTGAAAAGTGTTGGTTCAGGCTCCTGATGCTGAGGGTGGGGCCCTGGACAGAGCCTGCCGCGTGGGTTCTCCAGAGCGAGTCAGCCCCATCTCAGTGGCAACGTTCAGGCTAGTTGTTGGTTTGAGGCTGGATGTGTGTCTCCTCGGAGATTTCTGTGCATCTCTCAAGAAGGACACTACCTGCCAGCGGCCTTGCACCACAGATGCCCGACCGGGCCAGCCAGGCGGCCCTGCGCCGTGGGAGCCTGACTGGGCCTGCCAGCTGGCTCTGCACTGTGGATGCCTGACCGGGCCTGCCAGTGGACCTACACCACAGACACCCAAGCGGGGCTGCCAGCCGGCCCTGCACGAGGGACGCTTGACTGGACCTGCCAGCTGGCCCTGCACCATGGACACCTGATCTAGCCTGGTAGCTGGCCTGGCATGATGGATGGCACCTGACGGACCTGCCAGCCGGCCCTGCACCATGAACGCTTCACTGGACCTGCCAGCCGGCCCTGCACCATGGATGCCTGACCAGGCCTGCCAGCTGGCCCTGTACTGTGGCCACTTGACTGAGCAGCAGTCCTGAAGGTACACGCTGGGCAGGCTCATGTCCCAGGTGGTGGCCCGCACGGCCAGGTGTGCAGTCAGCAGCCAGCACTGTCTGGACACCTGCTGAGTCTTAACTGACCGTGACTCACAGCTGACCCCCGGAGGGTGTCTGGGGCATAGATCTCACGGGAGGAGACCGTCTGTCCTTCACCCGCAAAGCCACCGGTGGACTTGAACCCAGGGGGGGTGGCCTTTGGGTTAACAGTCCGACTGTCCACCGCAGAGCTCAGTGGTCTTGCTGCTCAGTTAATACAATGAGCTCGTCCTTACACTCACCCGGCACCTGGGGCCTTTCAGAGGAAGAAAGGACTGGCAACCAGCAGCCCTGAAAATGCAGTGGGACTCACGCTACACAGACGCCCACCTCAGCGCCTAGTTTTCCAGAACCTTCTGTCCTTAGCTCTGTGGGGATCAAAACCTTCTTATCTCCAAAGTATTTTCCTCCCTTTCCCACCCAGACAAGAGCAGGGCCACCCAGCCCTGGCCCTGACCCTGCCCAGCCCCAGCCCATCCCCGACCCCGGCCCTGACCCAGCCCAGCCCTGGCCAGGAGGCCACACTCACTGGATGTGATGTACTCCGGTGCTTTCCCAGGGCTCAGTGGCACAGCTTCCTCGTAGTAGCCCTCAGGGAGAGAAGAGGTGGGCAGAGGTGGCGGGCCACTGTCCGGAGGCTGGGGGGCAAGAGGGAGGACACAACACAGACGTGAATATACAGAGGGGTGTATGGTGGTCACTGCGGTGGGCCGCTAACCAGGAGGACAGAGGTTCGCGTCCACTCACAGGGCCTCAGGAGTCAGGCCAGGTGATCCACCTTCAGAAAGCCAGCTGTGGAGGCGGCTCTACTGGGCAGCTGGGGTGTGGCCAGCTCCGTGGCCTCCTGCCTCTTTCCCCCTCAGTTTATCTGTGTTGTTGAGCATACACACAGCCATGCCCACTCTGGCCCAGCTGCCCCCACATGTGCCATCAGACGGAGTGGGGTCGGTCATCTGGTCGGCTCCAACGGCAGGGGAGCCCCGCTGGCCTTGTCCACCCTCAGAGCTGCGGCCACGTCTGATCGCATATCTGCTCCCTGAACGACCCCTTTGCCCCTCATCTGAGGGCCGGCCGTCATGGACTTCCATGAGCAGACACTGCCCAGGACAGGCGTGTCCTCCTGAAGGGACACTTGTAGGCTGATGCTCCAAGAGCAGGCTGTGGATACACCATTTGTCCCTGATTCCTGAAAAGGCCTGTCACATGCTGCTCAGGTGGCCACATCCCGGGACTGGCAGAAGTTAGACCAGCTCTGCCCAACTCTCCACGTGCTGGACACCACTGAGAGAGATGTCAGAGCCTGTGCTCTCCGCGAGGTGGAACCAGGGGCAGGGGTCCTGGGGCCAGAGGCCCTGGGAGCACCACAACAGTACATGCCCACCGCTGACCAGTCCACTGCTGACCACCCTTGCTGGCCACACCTCCTGCTGACTTGCCTGCTGATGACCACCCCTGCTCTGACCACCACTCACTGCTGACCCCCCAGAGATGATCCCCCCACTGCTGACCCCCCACTGCTGACCACCACTCACTGCTGACCCCCCACAGCTGACCACCACTCACTGCTGACCACCACTCACTGCTGACCACCACCCACCGCTGACCCCCCACTGCTGACCACCACTCACCGCTGACCCCCCACAGCTGACCACCACTCACTGCTGACCCCCACTGCTGACCACCACTCACCGCTGACCCCCCACTGCTGACCACCGCTCACCGCTGACCTGCCTGCTGCTCCACAGCAGGAAGTCCAAGCAACCACATCATGTGGAGGTCACGGCTCCAAACACCCGCAGGCCCCCTGTTTTGTCACACAGGAATCAGATTCACTCAACAGCTTCCTTCCCTTGTGGTCACACAGTTGAGGGCAGAACCTTCTAGCACATCTGAGTGTTTACCTACTGCACCACCAGGGCTCCTCGACAAACGTGTAAGGATGTCTACACAAGTTTGTTTAGTGAAATCCGTAAACCATCTAACGTGTCAAGAGGAGACGTAAGCACTGCGTCAGCGTGCAGCCCACTCAGGGGCCGGGGATTAGCAGGGAGCGCTGCTGGGAGGGGGCCATGCTGCCAACCCAGAGGTGGGCAGTTCAAATCCATCAGCCGCTCTGTGGGAGAGAGATGGTCAATCTCCTCTGTGTGATTCGTTACTGTTTTCAGGTCCTGTCCAGTCAAGGAGGACTCAGTGATCCTGTGAACAGCTGACCTGAACGCTGTCCTCCCGGGCCACCCTCACCATCCCTGACACCCTCCAGCCCTTTGCTACAGGCTCCGTCAATCCATCAGGGTGAAGGTCTTCCCCTTCCTCACCAACCCTTCACCTTTCCAAGTGTGATGGCCCTTTCCAAGGAATAGCCTCTCCCAGCAACGTGCCCAAAGTGTGAGAGAGGAAGCTTTGTCATCGCTGCCTCCAAGGAGCACCCGGGCCCAACTTCCCCCGGGACGTATCTGTCCTTTAGGCCGCCCATGGGATATCAGTACTCTTCCCCAACACCACAGCCCACAGACATCAGTCCTTCTGTCATCTTTAACACGACAAATGTACTTAAAAATCTCTACCAGATACTGTTGTTGCTACGAGTTGTCAAGTCAATAGTGACTCACGGTCACTGAACAACGGCTCTGAACCCTGCACTATTCCGAAGCAACCTCACCGGCTCTAGCAAACCTGACCCCACTTCCATAGACTCTGTGTCAATCCATCTCATTCGAGGTCTTCCTCTCGCGCTGTCCCTCCACCCTTCCAAGCATGCTGTCCTTCTCCAAGGACTGGTCCCTCCAGGCCACGTGCCCGAAGTATGTCAGATGGAGCTTCACAATCCTTGCCTCCAAGGAGCAAACTGGTTTCACCCTCTCCAGGACAGACTTGTTTATTTTCTCATGGTGTTTAATACTCTTCTCCAGCACCACAACTCAGAGGCCTCAGTTCTTCTTCTGTTATCCTTATTCACTGTCCAGCTCTCAGATGCATAGCAAGCAATTGAGAAGCCCATGGCTTGGATCAGGCACACCATGGTCTCTAGCCTGACATCATTGCTCTCGGGCATCTTGGAGAGATCCTTGACAGATTTCCCCCTGAAACTTGTCTTTCCCTCCTCGCCTCCCCATGATCAAGGGTTTATTGGGAAAGAAACAGGTTACAATGAAGATCAGGAATGAGTTGGGGTCTGTAGTCCATCGGTCAGAAAAGCATCTCCGCTGACCCCGTAGTCAAGGCTCACCCCGGCTCTTGGCCACTTGGTCCTTCAATACTCTTGTGCCTTCAGTATTGCTGGAAACTCTGGGACGGGCCCAGCTTCTGATGGGCTCAGACAGCAATTTGTCTTAAGATTTCCTGACTGCTTGTACCAAGAATGTTGGTCATTAATAACCTCAAGCCTTCCTCCATCTATCATGATGCTGCCTATCGTCGCACTGGGAAAGCTCTTTGTCTTCTTGACGTTGAGCTTCAGTCCATTCTGAAGGCTGCAGCCCTTGACCCTCTGCAACAAGCGCTTCAGGTCCTCCTCAGTTTTGGCCAGCAAGGTTGTGCCATCTGCATAACGCAGGTCGTTGATGAGTCTTCCTCCAATCCTGGTGCCACATTCTTCATCACAAATTTAGCTTCCTGAATTTACTTTTCAGCATATAGATAGAAAAGGTGTGGAGACAGGACTCATCCCTGGTGCCCTCCTTTCCTGAATTTGAACCATGGAGTGCTGTTTCCTTGATCTGTTCAGACAACAGCTCCCTGGTTCAAGCACAGTTTCAACTGAGCACGATCAAGTGTCCGGGATCCCATTCTTCTCAGAGTCAGCCACAGTTTGCTGTGATCCACACAGTCAAATGCCTTTGCATGATCCGTAAAACAGAAATATACATCCTTCCGGTACTCTCTGCTTTCAGCCTAGCGCTCTCCGACATCAGTAGTGATGTGCCTAGTGCCACAGCCTCGTCTAAACGCTGCTGGTATTTCTGGCAGTTCTTTGATGATGTCCTGTTCTAGTCATTATTGGCCAATCTTCACCAAGATTTTGCTTGTCTGTGGTATTAGTGATACTGTTCGGTGATTTCCACACTCCGTCAAGTCACCTTTCTTGGAAAGGGAATATGTATGGATCTCTTTCAGTCAGTTGACCAGGTAGCTGTGCTCCAGATTTCTTGGCACAATCTGGTAAACCTGTCTAGGGCTACATTTATTTGTTGAAATATGACAATTGGTATTCAGTCAATTCCTCGGGCCTTGTTTTTTTGCCAGTTCCTTCACAGCAACTTGGCCTTCCTCTATTATCACTGTTTCTTGACTATATGCTATTTCTGTTTCTTATTATATGCTATTTCTTCAAATAATCTCTTAAAAGAATTAGCTGTGTAAGCTAATCCTTTTTGGTCTAGTGACTGTTTCTTTCATCTTCTTTTAATGCTTCCTGGATCATTCAATATTTTGCCCATAGCATCTTTAAGTTTTGCAAGTCAAGGCTTAAACTTGTTCATTTCCTTCAGCTTGAAAAATGCTGAGTGAGTTCTTGCCTTTTGATTTTCTGACTTCAGGTCTTTGCACATTTCATTATAATTCTTTGCCTTATCCTCCCGAGCTGCCCTTTGAGATCATCTGTTCAGTTCCTGAATTTCTGCTTCTTCTCTGCTTCTCACGCTCCAGAGCAGCGTTCCGAGTCCCGGCACCAGAGCAGCGTTCCGAGTCCTGGCTCCCAGCACCAGAGCAGCGTTCCGAGTCCTGGCTCCCAGCACCAGAGCAGCGTTCCGAGTCCTGGCTCCCAGCACCAGAGCAGCGTTCCAAGTCCCAGCCCCAGAGCAGTGTTCCAAGTCCTGGCTCTCAGCACCAGAGCAGCGTTCCGAGTCCCGGCACCAGAGCAGTGTTCCAAGTCTTGTATGACATCCCCCTCCGTCATTTCCTCCTCTGCTTTGGAATCACGTTTTGCTTTCTTCAGGGATGATATTCTTGGTATCCTCCCACAGTTCATCTGGTCTTTGCTCATCAGTGTTCAGATACCACTGAAAGAAATACCAGGCTTCACAGCCACCTTGGTACAAAACAGACGTGTTTCTGCTCCATCTTCTCATCAGATGTTGTTGGGTGGGTTTCAATTCACGACAAACCCAAGGCCTCAGGAGGAAACTGGCCATGCACCATCCTGATCTCAGCCCAGCTCGGTCCGACTCGTTGAGGGGCTTCCTGTCCTTCACTGAGCCTCTACTTCACCAAGCTGGTGTCCTTCAGTGGCTGCCCCGAGCCCCGAGAGTGGTGGGGTGTTTGAGATGAAGCCTCCCCGTCCTTCCTTCTAAGAAGTGTTGCAGCTGCACTTTCTCCAGTCTTTGCTGACACCACAATTCAGAGTCAGTTCTGTTCTGGTCGTCCTTATCCACTCCAGCCTCCATGTCCATGAGGAAGACCCTGGAAAGGATCCAGTTCACCTCAGGTGACTGGCTGGTCACTCCCGAGCCATCTACAGCCAGAGGTCCAGCCTGGAAGAGCTCCCAAACAGGAAAGTCTAACAAGCTGACCAGACAGTGCTCACAGGGGTGCGGATGGATCAGGGTGTGGCTGCCAACTGAACGTGAAGGATCGATGCCAACTGGCACTATCTCAGAGAAGGGCATTGCCAGGGGCTTCTCTGCCACACAGCCTCCCTGGT